AGCTTTTAAATACTCTGGAAAATCAAGACTTTTCTTGTCTCAAGAACAATGAAAATGATGCTGGGAATTCTTACACATTTGAGTGAAGCAGCAGGGAAGACACTGTCAGACAGCTCTGCTAAACTACTCCAGGGAGGCAGAAAGGAAAGAACCTGCTCTTCCTAACTGGAGGAGGGAGTATTGTTCAACTAAGAAAGGAAGAGGAAAATAACAGAAAGGAGATTAAACCAAAATATAATTATTACCATTTATGACTTAAAAGTTTATGAGATTTCATCCATTCTCTATTAGTTCTTTGGATGTGATCTTTCAGGTTGATTTTTTTGAGACAGAGTCTTGCTCTGTCTCCTGGGCTAGAGTACAGTGGTGTCATAACAGCTCACAGCAACCTCCTGGACTCAAGCAATCCTCCTGCCTCAGCCTCCTGAGTAGCTGGGACCACAGGCATGCGTCACCATGCCCGGCTAATTTTTTCCATTAGAGATAGGGTCTCGCTCTTGCTCAAGGTAGTCTTGAACTCCTGAGCTCAAGCGATCCTCCCACCTTGGCCTCTCAGAGTACTAGGATTACAGGCGTGAGCCACCGTGCCCGGCCCAGGTTGATATTCTAAGGGATACTTTTTATATGTGAGAAGTCCCATTAATTGATTTTTAATAAGGACAAATACTTTTTTGAGAGCTCGAGGTATAAAGTCACAAAATGAAGAGCAATGTAAAACAAAAGAGACATTAAATAATGTGAAGATTCCAAAATTACATTTTGATTTCTTCACCTATAAAAAGCAATAATGAGACTTACTAAACGAGCAAGTTTTAAAAAAATATAATCAGAAGATAATAAGTATTATTCATTTCAGTCTTCCTGTTTATAATAATTTTAAAATTATTACTAAACAATTGCCATAGCAATCAGTTCAGATCAACAAACACTATTATAACCTAGTCTATTTTATTTAAAAGATTTTAACCATCTTTCTGATGTTTTTTAGGTGCTTAAATTTTCTTCATAAAAGCATTGTTTTTTAAGCCGTCAATTTCTTCCTACTCTACTTTCTCAAACCAAGATCACCCTATCGTTTCTTCTCATTTCCACTTCTCATACGTTCACCTGCAAACCTTGTACTTTTCAGAAATCTTCCCGAAACTATCTGCTCAAACCTAAAATGAAGAGAAATCTGTTAAAAGCAACTACTGAAGCAAAATTCTATCCAACCTTTCTCATATATTCTCTATTTAAACTGATTTTTAATAACAAACTATTTAAGGAGACAATGTCTATATTTTGTATGATATTAAAGCTCAGATTTTTAAGAAAATTATACTAGTTCTTTTTAACTGATATGAGTCACATTTTTTTTCTAAATAATTATTACTATTTTTGTTACTTATAGTCTCATGAAATAATTTAGTGAACAAATCTCCCTCAATGAAATCAAACACTAAAACTGAGGGGAAAATAGTATGTCTTATTTCCCAGTAAATGACCCTGGACATTTCAGAAATAATGATGTTTATGAACAAGAATGAAAACACCATACAGGAAGTAATACCGATAAAACAAAACGATCATGTCCTCTGACCTATCTTTTGAGTAACTTTTTTAGAGAAGTTTCAACTGTCATTTAATGGTCCATCCAGCTTTTTAAAAATGTATTCCTTTAATCTCTCTTTGCACTCTTGTCCCCAGTCAATCGCTCAATTGCCAAACCTTTTTAAACGTGTCAGAGTCTGGAGATACACAGATAAGCAGCGGAGTTACTGCTGCTCAAGAGCAGGAGCTGGGCGCCTGCAGGGGAGGCGCCCACGCAAACAGTCGCTGTAACACAGCGTAACTGCCCAGGCGGGCGTGGAGAGAGGTTTGGTGAAAACTTCACGCAAGAGATGATGTCCAAGCCATGTTTGAAAAGAAAAGAATGTAAAGAACAGGAAAAAAGCTATTTCAGAAAGAGGAAACAGAGTCTAGAGAAACATGGAAGTTCACGGAATTTCTGGTAGAACTTGCACTGATAGAGTTAAGAAAGAAGGAGAGTGTCTCATGATCAATAATCCTTGAGAGATGAGCCCAGGTCAGATGAGGAGGGGCTTTTGGAATCATAATTCCTTGTACATAGTAAATGTTCAATAAATGTTTGCTTCATAGTCACCAACAATACCAAGTTTGATTCTTGAGAGCCATCTAATGGAAGATATCTCTCTTTTCAACCCACGATTTTTGTTTAGTAATTCCCCATTGATACATGAATGATTACTAGAAAAGAATACAAAACACCAAAACAAAAATTGTCAGAAATAAAAATATTTCAATAAGCCATACAATAAACATTTCCTAATATCATTCATGTGTAGCTGAAATATTTCAATCTAGAACCCTCATCATTTGTACATTCCATGAACACTGTAATTCAAAAGGAAAGATACAGGCTTATTTTTCCAAAGGATACTACTATTCATTTTTAATTTTAATGCTTAACTGTACCCATGTTTTAGAATCTAACACAGGGAATCAAAGTAATTCCAAACTTTTAAACTGAGTTCTTATAAATGGAATGACTATATCTAGAAATAAATCTTGTGGGGTTCCTCAGGATTCCTACCGACGGGGACTGGTTGGCAGTTATAGAGAATATCCTCATGAAATGTTCCCGTCAAATCTTTGGACAGTAGCTTTAAAGATTTAGCAGTAGCTAAGTAAATTTGGTAAACTCTCAAATGCATTATTTGGTAAGTTAATTTGCTTAAAATTCTTATTCTTCAAACAGCCTGTTAGCATTTTGGCTATAAAATTGACACCTAATGAAAAGTACACTGTTGGAAAACTTTGTACATTGATTCCTGTATTTTGCCATACTAATAAATTAAATGGCAATTTGAATTTTTAAAAGATCTAAAAGGCCTACTTTCTAAAGAAATGTTTAGGATATTATGGCAGCACCAAATCTGGGGTATTTTTGCCACCATGAATTCCGAATAATTATTTTACAACCAAATTGAGTTCCTACTTAAGGAGAAAAAATATTTATTAGCACATCTGCATTTCAAAGCTCTTGTTTTGAGAACTCTTCCACATAACAGATTAAAGTAACACGGTTACACAGTCTAATGAATTATTTTCCCTGTTTACCTAGAGCACAGCTTTCTTTTTCATCAGGGCATGACAACAGATCTACCGGTACGAGGAACTGTACGATCTTTTTTGGAAAGTACACTGTTTAAATGTGTTTTGCTTTATAGCTCTTTTCCAAACTGGTAACTATAATAGAGTGAAGTAAAAAGTGGAATCTATTTTCCTTCCCCAACTCTGAGACCTTCTATCTGGGCCAGACTTTGATACGTGCCCCTTGGCTGAGGATCTGCATATCCGACTTCACACCCAGCTGCAGTGAAGTAGCCCTGCAGGCAGGCCGACTTCAACGAACCACTAGTGGTATCATCATTAAAATCCTGCTGAAGGTCACCATGGTAACCGCCTGCTGAGGCTTCGCGGCTGCACTCGGCATCTCCTAATCAGCTACCATGTGAAATGCAAATTCAGACAGTCTGAAAATTAGTCAAGAAGAATAGGGGATGAGGATGGAGATATGTGAAATATTCATGCGCTTCATGGAAAAGAGGAGACAGCGTGAATGACACAACAAAGGCAGGCCCCTGACATCCTCGCCATCATTCTGCATCATTGTTCACACCCTCCTGCATTTCCAGGCCTGTGGTTCTGAAGTTGGTTTTGTGAAATGCCGTATTCATAGTCCAGACCCAAAACAGTAATTAAAAATGGCTAACATAATAGCATTAACATCCAATAAAGATAATACTTCCAAATTATCATCACTGCCTCGTAAGAGTTTATTCTAATTACCTGAATACAAATGCTATAAGGCAAAAAACTGGGCATAATTGATGATTGGAATCAAAACTACTAGAAGAAAAAGTACTTACTACATCCTAGGAACTCAAATGCTTTACACATGGTAAAAAAAATTCTTTAGAGATATTTATTATTCAAGTTACATGGGCTCAAATTTCCTTACACGATACTAAGAATGAAAGCAATTCAATTCACGATAAAAAGACTGACGAAATGATCTAATAAGTGAATATTATAATTGTTTTATATTTTTCCTTTGCTCCTTTCCATTTTCCTGGGGCAAAAAATCTGTAGCTGATGAGAAGGTGAGATGTCCTAACTCAAGACAGTGTTTCCTCTGGGTAGGTCCCCAGCGAACATTCCAAAAAGAGCTTACGTGGAACGTTTTCGTTGATCTGAGACACTGCTGTTATGCACATCTCCTCCTTAAACACTGGTAAAATCACTACGTGCTCGGCTAAAATGGGAGATGTTGTATTCGATGAAAAACTGGATATTGGGCAGTGCCCAAACAACTCATTTCAACGGGTCACCAAAGCAAGGATTCAGATCTTAATAAGGTAAAGTCTTCTAAAGTTTTCAGTCATTTTAACATGTCTACAACGATAACCTCAAAACATTTCCCCAAAGGAATCTGACTCCAGCAGTGAGGTGGTGATAGGACAGGTATTGATTGTCAAAGGACGGAGGGCAAAGCTTGAAGAATGAGGTTCAGAGACAAGAAGCTAAGTGATGTATGCTTCCATTTTTGGAAACATGGACGAGAGGGAACTTCTGCCAAAACAGAAAGTTATAATTGTCTGCTGGCCCGAGACCATGAAAATAAGGAGTTACCCTATCAAGAGAGGCCACCAGAGTCTGGGTGTGAGCACGAATCCTGCCCTCTGCAGGGTTCAGCGTGCTGTAAACCCAGCTACTGTCCATAGGACATGGCCACGTCTACACCACATGCTGCGTGTTCCATTCCACAGTGTGCATTCCAGAGCCAACTCTTTCAACAGCAAGTCTCCAGGAAAATGAAAACAGAACAAAAAGCGCTATTGCTGCCACCTATACCATTCATTTGTACTTCTGGATGAAGCACAATTTCTTTATAAAATACAAAGGTCAGCAAAACATGTGGACTGAAAACGACTTACTTCCTCCGAGTAGTGATCTGAAGGGAGAGGGGGGTAGTCACACTGCTCTATCTTCTTGCACAGCGAGTATAAGTTCATTTTGTCGCCGTAGAAGGGACTCTGCAAGGCGGCCATCTGCAAAATGCTCCCAATGAAACTGATATAGTTACAGGGCAACTTTAAAGGCAATTTCATCAAGTATATTACACTGGGGTAGAAAATAATTACAAATACTTTAAATAAAGTTATCTGGGCAGTTTGATTTTTATGAATATCCCTTTCTGAGAATTATTTAGTAAGTGCTAAAAATCTTTAACTTTTGATTATTTTTTCAATATTTACCATTCCCTGAAATAGAGAAATGGTTAGCATTTATATATACGTGTATATACACACACAACATAAAACAACATTAAGAACATATGACTCAAAAACTCTGTATATATAATGCCATAACAACTAGCATATCTCATGACAAATAGACATTACAAGGTATGTCTCAGCCTTGTTAATGGTCAAAATATAACAAATATGAAACAAGTTAAAACTGAATTATAATCTAGAGAATGTAATTTAGGGACTAGAATGCATAGCATTTTATCTCACATAATAGTTCTGTAGGGAACGGTTATTCTGAGAAAAAAAAAAAAAGTCTTCTCAATTTAAATATTCTAACTGATCTCCCAATAGTTTACAACAAACTAGAACTTCTTGTCTCAAAACACTAAACATTTTCCAAAGCTCCATGTGTCATAGCTGCAATTCAAGGCTTCCAAATGAGATTTTTATGCAGAAAAACACGACTCAGAGGATGAACAACTTTTAAAAAAGACATATTGGATTTAAATTTATTTTAAGACAAGGTTCTAACTTGACATTTAAAGTGCAAGCAAGTACTGCGGTAAGCAGGGTTACAAACTAAAAATTCAATTTAAAATGTTCGCGTCCTGTTCGAAACCTTCTAAATCTTTGAACCGCGGCAGCAGGACTACAGTGCGGAGTGCAGGGCTGCCCCAAAGTCAGTCACCCTTCTCTACATGTGCTAATAAGTTTGATTTTGGAAGGACAATGTGTACATTCCCTAGACAGGCGCAGAGTGTGTGAAACACGCTCGTCCGTGCTGTGCTACTCAGTGAGCGTCAGCGGGGACGGGACTAGCTGAAAATGGCTCTCATCTGTCTTCCCTGCTCCAGACGAGCTTAACTCCTTCCGAGCCTGGACGGGGAGGGGCTGTGCTGGAAATGGAGCCTGGGAAGTTGCTTTCTATCCAGCCTCTGTTTGACACAAAAACTGCATGTGCCCATACAGAACCACCTTAGGAACGGCTGCTCCACGTGAAGAGAAAAAAGACAACTCAAATGTCCCTAATCATATAAAACACTCTAGCCAAGGTAAAATTTTTAAAAGAGGCACTATAATAACAATGTTTTCATAAATGCAAGGATACCTTAAGATAAAATAAGATTAAAAATACACTACATGTATATAAACTATATAAACCACAGTCTCCCTGTGTTTGAGAACCTTAGGTAAATGCACGTCTATTCATTACCATATGCTGGGAGTTCCCTACAGCCCTTCTCCTCCACACCGCAGAGTGTTAAAAAGAAATCTGAATGTCCCCCAAGGAGTTAAACGGGAATAGTATATTTTCATGCATCTCCTGCTTTGACAGATGAAAAATGTCAACTGTCCTGTTTTTATTTTCAAGCTTTTGCACTATTCATCTGGTTCATTAGTGCATCTCGATGCTGCCCCTGACAGCTGCTCGCCCTCTCCTCCCAGCAGCTGAATTTTTCAGGCTAATTTGATCCTCCACACTGAGACGATCGCGAGAATGATTGACTTGCTCCCTGACCTCCGGGGTCTGACTTTCCTGATTAGTATTCTGGGGGTGTCGGAGGGACGAAAGCCCACTGTCTGTCTTCAGGGCTGGTGGCAGCTCTCTTTTTTTTTGAACTGTAAGCCACCAACCTACAACCCTGTAAGGATGCAGTTGCTGAGCTGAACAATAAAGGAAATGTGTAAAACCTACTTTTCCATGTAAAGGGCCGTGTAGCGAAAGCACGGCATCCTGATTTTAATTAGTAAAGTCTACTTTGTTGCATATCAATTAAAACTGTACTGCTTTTTTTTTTTTTGAAGGTTTCAGGAATATTTGAAAGTCTAATTTTCTGAGTTTAAAATACATTTTCAAAAAAGGCTTCCTACTCCTTCATTGTTAATAATTTCTTAGCGGGATACAATATAAAATATCTATGTGATGTTATGGCCAATTTCTTAAAGCTAAATTGCTAAGTATTTCTCTTAACATTGTATTGAAACATAATTGAAAGGAGACAGAACATAAAGGTAAATTAAATCTTTTAGAAAAATTCTAGTTCTTCCGAAAGACTTGCATGGAGAAATAGAATGCATTAGCATGATAAATACTTGACTGGAAATCATCCACGACACATGTAACTCATGCATGTAGGAGTGTCCAAAGAAATAATTTGTATTTGGGTGATCATTTTAAGTACACATAAAGATGGGACACTGCCTCTCAGAGGCAAATTCAAATGTGATAAATTATTTCAGTTTCCACACGAGAGTTTGTGCTAGCCTTAAAAGAATTATGCAAACTTTCCCCCAAAAACCCACTTACTACTCAACTCAACCTGTTCTTTTTCATTGCTAAATTTAATCTTGTTACTGGAAACCAATCTGCTGTTTACTTTTAGGTGTTTAAACAGAAAATGTTGCTTTGATAATACTGGACTACGGCCTGAAGGAATCTAAGATTACCTAAACAGATAAAAAAAATATCTTTACAAAGTGACTAACTTTGAAACATTATAGTAACTGAATATAATTAAACTAGTTCTTTTAAGCATTGTACCAAAGTATTAACTGGATATAACATAGTGAGCATAAATCTCTTACAGTCTCATGTGCATATACATAAAAACATTGTTATGTTACTAATTCATAATTTTTCATAATAGAAATTATCCTAGGGATGAGCTTATTTAAGAACATTTAAAAATCCTTTAAGTAGTCAGTCACGTTAGAAGGAGAAACTAAATAAATAATTTCAGGTTCCTTAAATTAAGGAAATTTGAATCTGCAATCAGGAAAATAATAAAAGGTCATCACACACATTTAAAAATAAAAAACACCACCTCCTGATGCTCCACTTCCAAATAATAGTGGCACAATTAAAATAGATGACCTCATTTGTCAGGAGCACAAGACATACAAAACGTGCAGTAAGAAACGCATTGGTTTCTATCTACTCTAGATTTCTCTTACATAATGGAGATATGAAAATAATTCCATAGAGCATGTTTCTTCACTTTATTAAAACCTACTTAGATGTATACTAATTTTTAATTAACAGCTCTGACTTAAAGCCTATATTCCTAGGAAAATCACCATTCAATTAAAAGCAAAATTAAAGAAGTCACTAGCTTGAGATACTCTTGATTCCATTGCTCTATATGTAAAATGTGTTAATATTATGCTTTCTTTTATCCGTTCAAATTATTGCACTGCAATATTTCCAAAGGATCTACCTACATGATTTCATTTTCCTCTGATAAATTATCACCAGTAGAACAGGAGAGAGAATTTCACTGAGCTTTACCAACACAAATTGTTATCTGTTTCCACTAAATTAATGATAACCTAGAGAAATTATCTATGTGCATACTACTCTTGATACTGAATTACATCTGTGTAAAAGTGAATTAAAATATTGATAAAGCTATTTACTATACATTCATATTTTAAATCCATTCCATACCTCTCCTACAATGCACAAAGATTCATATTTCAAATGTACATTTTTATAAATGCAAAGTTTGCAGAAAAACATTAATATAAAATTAGCTTTTAAAAAATAAAATTCTCATCAAAAGAACACAATTTAAAAATACATTAGAGGAAGTAAATGTTTAGGAATGTATAGTTATTAAATCCCATTATAAAATAGTTATTAACCTAATGAAATAATTCTTCATAATTAAGCTGATTTTTAAACATCATCCAGAAAGAAATAAGTGTATACTATAAGGATAGGGGAAATATATCATAGTAAGTAAAACCGTATCGATATATGGAATTTATCAACATTGCCTACCTCATACAGTAGACAGCCAAGAGACCAGATGTCAGATTTGAAGTTGTATCCATTTTCATGTATTCTCTCTGGAGACATGTAATAAGGTGTACCCACTGTAGAAAAACAGACCAAATAAAACAAGAGGAGTATAAAAATGAAGATACAGTTTTAGTAAGAAATAATACACAAAATTTTGGATTAAAAAATGTCACCAAAATGATTCATTAGCATCAGAAAATTGTTTTTGAGAATACACAAAACTTTAAAATTTCTTCTTTACTCCCCAACCCTTAAACAGCACATAAACATTTATATTATAAAGAGTATGGTGGGTTACACTTTATTTCCTTTTGAGCAATCCAGGGAGACTCAAGAGAACACAACTGAAGGAAGAAGAGAAGTAATTCTAACAAGAAAACCTATTTCAGTGATTGACACTGGCTTTATTTATTTTTTAAAAATAGGGATATCCTAAATAATTAAGCATAATAATAATTCATTTAAAAACAAATAGTATTATATAACAATTTAGCAGAGTATGTATAAATAAATCACACTTCTATCCCTTAGAACATACTCGTGGCTCTTAATAAATGACATGCCTGCTAACAACTGGTGCCTTGGTTACGCCCACTTTAGAAAGAACATAACCGACTTCTGTCCATCAAAGGGTGATACGGTATCATGTGTGAAAGGCACTGACATCTCCGGAAGAATGTCTGAGTTGTTACTACCACTGAGCTCTTTTTATAGACAAGACACTCTAGATAATTTTTGCTTGTTTTGATGTCCTAATACTTTTTACCTTTTTTTAATGACCATTTTAGAAAACGCTAATATTTATTAAACATTTAAACATAAACAAAAGCATAGACATATTTTGAAGGGCAAAACCTGTAAGTGACTTTCAAAGGGAATGTCTTTAATTTTAGACTGAGATGCCTATTATTTCACCACCATGAGCCTAAGGCTTTTTGCCAGATAGAAAATCAAAGTTTGAGAACAGCATTTAGTGATCTTATTTACCTGAGGCAAGAGCTACTAAAAACACTCAGCTGCTCATGGGGAGAAGGCATTCTCCTTTCTCTGTTAATTTTCAAGAACTCCCCAGGTATTCACTGTAAACCTTAATGAGACTAAATCACAATACTGAACAAGGGTCTTTAGGAGGAGGCCACGAAAAGTCACACCAATAATTAAAGCACTATCCTTAAAGACAGGAGTCAGTTTTCCAGAAGATTAAGATTATAACCTACTGGGTGTGTGTGGAAACTACACGGCGCCAAAGGTGAAAACACCATGAACCATGTATCCGAGAAGTCCCACCTATACCGGAACCCCTCTTTACCAATAATGGACAGTCCTAGCAGAACGGACAAAAGGGAAGTATTTATGGCAGTGAGAGAAGTACGCAAACAGGAAGATAAAAAATTTAAATAAAATATGAACTATTCAGATATAGAATTAATGAGACAAAGAAGTTATTTAACTGCAGCATTTACTTTGAAGACAAAGAGGTAAATCTGCTGATTTCTATAGTGTCAGAAAAGCAAAGAAACTTTTAAAAATAGATGGGTTTAAAGAATCTGTATTATTGCTGTACAGAATAAACACAAGCTATGCAGCTTTGGGAGCTCTAACCCCTTCTGCTTGTGGTTTGCATAAGCGACAGCAATCGCCGCAGTATTCGCACACTCCCTCCACTCGAGGCAGGCGGGCAGGTGCAGCTGGAATAACGAGCGGGCTGGGCACAGGCTCCTGGTTTCAGGACATAAAGCAAGTGGCTGGCAGGGAGGAATGTGCAGGAAGAGGCTTCACAGAATCCACAGGGGGCGGCTGAAAACACTGAGGCTTGGAGGTTCAGAGTTTACCAAAAGCAGAGGTAATTTTAACCAGTAGCTCTGGGAAACCCGCTGATACGCTGGGGGTTTGATATGAGTGTGAAAGATTGATGATAGGGAAAAAGAACAAATGCTAGCGTTTTACAGAGATTAGCCCCAGCATAACACCTTGACTGCAACTCACCGCCGACCACCGAAAGCAAGGGAGCAGAGAAAGAGGAGGATTAGGAATTCTGCTAAACTAAACTTAAAATGTAAAAAATTTTAACGTACAAAAAGCCTTTTCTAGTGAGCTGCTGGAGGTCGTTACAGAAAGTCACATACTCAGTTAACACCGGTACTTTGAACTTAGATTCCGATTCTTCTCCATATTGTAACAAACTTCTTTATACTAAACAGGCATGTCTTATTTCAATATCGAAATTACATATTCTTGCATATATATTAAAATGTAAAGCTAAGTATGCTACTCACCTCTTTGATCGACACATTTCCAAAAGAGTCATTACGGAAGATGAGTAAGTTTGCATTCTGCACCACAATTATTAGTTGGATAAACTCATAATCAACTGCACACAGGCCTGGGAGGGAGGTTCTACTGGCTCCTCCTGACGTGCTCCCTAGCGTGCCCCTCTGTTCTGGACACGGGCTCTTCCACTGACTGACCCGGAGCAGAGAGGTTCAGCCCCATCACGCAAACTGATTCGTCCTCACCTCTCTCTATCCAGCACGAAGGCCTAAAAGTTTAAGTGCTCAGGAAAATTCCCCATGCATTTACACGCAGTGGTATGTTTTCAACATTTCAAACTCAATGAAGATATAATTATTTCCTAAAAACCCTCTATAAAAATCCACGACAGCTGTGTCTATGATTACTGTTGCCTCAAGAATGTTGTGACTTCTTTTAACAGTTGTACAAGAGAGAGTTGTGGATTGGTATGATTAGACATTAAAATGATCATGCAAATTACTGCCCTGTGTATTGAGGAGCTTGAAGACTGCAGAATGCATAATTCCACTTATCCTTCAAGCATTTATGGTTAGAGGTAAAATGAGAATACATTTTGCAATAGCCGATACTTATGTCATTTTAACCTCCTGACATGAGTAAAAGAAGTAGATGATAACATTATAAAAAGCAGAAAACACTGACATTGGAGGAAAGTTGCTAAGAACTGAAAATGCTACCTGACCTTTCTTTAATCCATACTAATATTACAGTCAAATATACCACGGCAGTCATTCAAATGTAAAAAACATTTCCATTATATTAACTGACTCATTACAGCTATGTAAGAAAAGTTTTACATGATATGTAATCCCTAAACAATAAATACACTTTAAAATTTATCCTGAATAAAATGAAGACAGATTTTCGGAAGTTCAACAATGTTTAAGAGAACCAACAAATTCTGCTAACGTGTTTTTATTATGGAAGATATAGTAATTAATGACTTTCATCAAAACAAGTTAGATACAGAATGTTTTCAACAGTTTGGCTAAAATTTTAGTACTATAATCTCTGCAAAGATTTGAATGAGAAAAAAATAATAGAATGACTGAAGCATCTTTATACATGGTTCTATTTTGATTGCCATTTTTGGGGGGTTTTAAACAAAGGAGGTAGCACAAAACCAGTGAAAGGTTGAGAAATCTCTTTCACATCTTAAATTTGCCACTAAGTAGCTAAGAGTGTTTATCTTCTCTCTTTAGTCACTTTCTTCATCAGAGGTGAGGAGAAAGATGAGATAATCTCTGAGATCCTTTTGCTCTAAAGGTCTACAAAACTCATAAAAATCTGCACAAATCCCTATGGAAAATGAAATGAAAAGAATGATATACTCCTTTTAAAACTATCACTTAGGACAGCAGAGTGAGAGTGTTTTAGTCAGAGAGTGCAGACAAGCGAATTCAGTTTATCCTACAACTGGAGCAAACTGCAGAAAAGAAAGCTTGAACATTCCTTGTTGGGAAAATTAAAAGGAGACAATCATCTTATACCTCAGTTTGATTTAAAACACACATAATTCGGGGAATATGACTTCAGCTCCCTTCTTTCCTTCGTACTCATGCGTCAGCCCCCCAGAAATGACGCTGGCAGACGGAATGGGGGAGAGGCCAGATTTATTTCACTGTAAGGAGTATTATCTGAGGTCAACTTAGAAATGGTTGAGGAGTAGATCAATGTTTCTTCTGCAGAAGACATTTATAAAACAAAATTTGCCATCTTTTAAGTGTAACTGATAACATTTAAGAGCTTTACTAATGCTCAGAAGAAATACCGCAGCACGTATCACTGTTGGTGTTACCCTGCTCCAGGCAGCGTATTAAGGGCGTTACATGTATTATCTTGCTGAACTTTAACAAATGTTTCCCATGGCCCGCCGCATGGCACGCGTCGTACTAGGTCCTGGGGTGACAGAAGCAGACAGGACAAATCCTTGACCTCACAGGGTGGGGCTCCCAGTCCGGCGAAATGGGGACTAGTATGAGGTACTTTTATGGGATGCTCCTGCTGTTACCCTGTTGTAGAGAGGAGACACAGACCCTAAACCCAGCAAGGTGTGTGGACGTGGAATTCAAACACAGGTAGTTCTCTCTCTTATCCTTTAAGCAGAGAGTTGTTTCATTAAAACTAACCACTGTGAGGTATGACTGAAAAAATGTTTCTATCTTTCCAAATTAGGAAGCAGAGAAATCTTCTAGAAGTCATGGCATGCACATATGAAAAGCCAGGAATAGGGGCCCAGGTTCAATGGGCCACACGTGGAAATTGTGCTACTCTGCAGCTATTCTGATTGCTTTAAACAAATAACTTGTCACGGTGGCCGAGAGGTTAAATGTGCCCGGTTTAAAATGAGATAATAGCTTCTTCCAAGAGCAATTACTTAAGTCAAGAAAGGACCAAATGTTAAAAATAAATCGGCGAAGGCAGCCTACAGTACTGTCCGAACACACGCTGCCTTCGCGGCTCCAAACCACCTCGACGATGGAGGGAGAAGCCGAAGAAAGACCCATCGAGAGGTGCTGGGGAAGGTGTGGGGAAGACAAGCTGTGACCACAGGTGGCACCTGGCAGCCAGGGTGAAACTGTTTTAATGCCTGGGTCAAGAAGACCAGTTTTCCAAGTTGAAACAGAGAATGTCTCGCACTTGGACACAGTGTGGAGAGCACGAATTGCAACTCGGGAGACTGCGGTGTGAAGACGCTGAGACCCGGCCTGAACAATGCCAGCGTTCACCCTGCTGCAAGATCGCAAAATCAGAGAACCGT